ACCCACATCACAGATTTTTTAGTAAGTGAATGTCTGTAAAAACTTATCAAGTTCTGATGATTTGTGGAAAGTTTTATTAATATTTTCTGGAAGATTTTATGACTTGGAAAATGTACCTCTCAAGAACAGTTCTTGCTGTTTCCATTTGCGTTGAAGTTAGTAAATCAAATATACTGTGGAAATATGTTTTGCCTTTAAAGATCCTTTGCATATGTAACTGATTATTTGATATTTAAAAACTGCAAGTATTTTATTTCTGAAAAATTCAAAGTTTCAGAAACAATTTTAATATTTAGGAATCTTAATAAAGAAAGTTATTGTGAGAAAATAAACTATTTAAATTGAAGAACCCTAAGAACACACCCACATTTGAGTATTAAAATATGGATAATATATAAACATGATAAAAAATCTAACTAAATTCATCCTTTAAAGATAAGTTTCTTAAGAGTCAAGGTGAAACTACTAAATTGTTTAAATGAACAAGAAGCAAACCCTAATTATATACAAATAATAAAAAACTACATATGAGACTTTCTAAACAAATTTAACAATGTTTAAAAAACTCTTTTAAAGTTTCGATTATGTACATTTTGTTTAAAACTTTTATGTTAAATTGAAGTGCTTTTCACTGTAGCTCCTAATTTCCAGTGTTTCATGGAAAAGACAACATTATATAAATGCAACCATGATCTAACACGTGGCAATGGTGTTTTATTATATGTGCGTATAAAAAGTTCCAGTTGCTTCTTAGTTATTAATATATCCATTTGACTTTATATCTTAAAATAGGCAGAAAAATGATATCAACTATGCCATCAATAATAAAAAATATGAAATTGAAAGTGTTGATAGTTACATTAAATAATTTTGTACTAATAAATATATTGTTATTGTCAAAACATTCACTACTTAAACAAGTATTTAATTGGTCATTTATGACAAGGACTACAGTGGTGTGATATATGAAACATAAAAGTGAGGAGAATGAAGTATCAAAGTTGATATTTTCCTCACTTGAATCATCATTATCAATATTAGTCTTTGGGAAGATATAGATTCAGAATGAATTAATTTCATTATAGATTTTGAGAGGTTATAAGAAGTTTCTTTCCGGCACAATCAAAATATTATCATAGCAATTCAGGTTGTCAGTAAAAGCTTAAACAAATTTGCTGATAATCCTGTTAATGACCTGGGTCAAGTGTTAACTGTTGTGGGTTATAAAATAGTGAAATTAAGGTTTCTCCTACCTCCGGGCAAATAACACAGTTATAACTTGGGGAGGAGGTAAGGGAGAGCTTTTAGAAGAGCTATTAAATTACAAAAATGTGTAATGCATTCAATTATTTAGTGTAGCATGATGACATGCTATTAAAAGCAAATGTAAACCCTCTTCCAAAAAAACAACACACACACACACAAAAAAAACACAAAAACAAAAACAAAAAACACCTGTAAAGATTATATGATAGTTTAGTTCTCTATTAATGTTTCAATCACAATATATTATTTGAGGATGTGTTTATATGTGAAAACTGATGCCAATTCATAGTAATTTTTAAAAAGGGAAAAGTTCATTATTTAAATGTTTATTTTCTCTAATGTCTGCCTAATATTCAAAGGGAAGCATGCAGTGTTTATCTGAAAGTCTTACTTCCAAGCTTTAACAATCACATGGTCTCCTCCAGTATTTAGAAGATTTATGTTCAGAGAAATACATTTCATAGAAATGGTATCCCAGCCACTTCAATAAAAGTCTCCCCATATAAGTAGTATATAAATATGCAGATTTAATTTTATTCTCTTTCGTTTTGAAAACTCTCATTTCCAATGTAAAGAGCTCTATGGGTAAATGTTAAACTAATTTATAAATACTATTTGATAGAAAATTATTTACTATATTATGTGCTGATGAATAAGCCATGCATTCTGCCTCAGATTCCTTCAAATATAAAAGTGTTTAAAGAGAGTACTAATGCTAAAAGAGATTGAACTAATAGTAGTAAACACTTCACTTTATATCAAGTTTTAACCTCTTTTCAAAGTTATTTTTATTTACCATTATATCATCTATCTGGGATGGGAACTTTTCTAATAATACATAGTTTTAAAAATCCTATTTTGTCATGAAAAGTAGCTGATTTACCATTGGGAGTCTTTTCTTGGTCTGTCATGTAAACAGACATAATAAGATTTTAACAAAATTCTATGCAACTTTTATAAAGTTTCTGTTTCAATATATAGGTCAATTCTTAATTCAAGTGTTCACTGAAATTATGAATGATCTAGTATCACTGAGGAGGACAGCAAATAGTATGTATCCCCTGGAATCATTTTCTTAAAAATATATTAGAAAGTTATTTGTAGCTAAATCCAGGAAAAGAAAAGTTCAGATTAAACTTTTTTCAAGTTGTTTTCTTTATCATGGGCCCATGCATTTCTATATTGATATTTGATTATCAGAATCTCAAATTTAAAAAAGAAAAAGTCACACAATAGCAAGTTTCCTAGCAATTAACTCAGTGGATTGGTTTTGTTCTCTCACGCCTAACTTCATGATAGATTGCCAAATAAATTTTAGTAAATTTTACTAGCAAGTTTCTAATCAAATTTCTATAGGGTTGACATATAATTTTAGCATAGTATTTTAATGCAAGCTAGTATTTTATGCTTTTTTCTAAATTTATATTAGAAGGCTATATTAAGAAAATTCATTTTATCATTAGTCCTTCCACCCACTCACTATGTGACATTTCAGAAGGGTGGCTTTCTGTTCAAATGATGTTGTTAGCAGAGTTACATGGACCTCTTGGCACACACTTGGATTTTTTCCACTTTCATGTTGTTCATCTCAATTCCTCAGACCCAAGCTATTGTATTAACATTTAAACCCTCGCTCAAATATTACCCAAGTTAAATCACGCCATTTAAATTTTCAAAGCTTTCCTTTATGACCTCAGAATGGAAAGAAGACACTACCCATAGGACACAATCTGGAAATAATAATCCCATGAACAATGAATAGATAAACTTTTACCCAAGCAAACTAAATGCAATTATGTCAGTTTCCTGAGTACAGTTACATTTCCATATACATATTGTTAATGTGTACCTGCCTATATAATAATGTGCATTATATACCCAGATCTGCACAAGGTATGGCTTAAAAGCAATTTGCATTTGCTTATTCTTCCTCTGTTAAATTGATATGCATTAATTTTATAGAAGTGTGCATAAGTTTAAAGGGTGTTTCTCTTGCAAATCACTGAAAGGTACTGACTCTCAGCTATATCCTTGTGCATTATTAATTCAGTGAAATCCATGATCTAAATAGTTTATAAATAGTTCATCTGGAGAAATACAGGTTATCATAGTAATTTGGGAATAATCTTGCTATTTATTCTAGTTATTGTGAATATTTAAATGTCTTCAAAGAAAGTAAAAGGTTAAACAAACACTAATTTTAACTTACTGATATGTTACTCATCATATAAATGACTGCTCTTGCCTTTCATTTATGAAGAATGATTGACAATTACTTTCAAATAAACATTTACTTGATTTTAAAAGAAAAGTCATTTGTAGGTAAGATGATTTTCTTTATCTTTATTTAGAATTTTCAAGTTCCCAATTTTAAAAAGACACACAAAAATATAATGAAATCAGCCAAATTGATAAAGGCAGTCACTTAGGAAAGAACAAAATAAAACTACTCTATTAGCAATGAAAGTAGGTCACTAATATGAGAGATAACGTCTATATTTAATTTTAAATTTTCTAAATATTTTGAATTTATTAAAATAATAATGCATACAATATACAAAGTATTGGCTTGACAATACATTTTTAGTGTGTGACATAATATATAATGTAGTATTTGCACATCAATTGTTCAATATTGCTAAACTGCAAAATAAATTACTAAATACCATTGTAGGTTAAAATGATTAAGGGAAAATCAAAGTTATAAGTGTTGCTTTAAAGCAATCAATTACTCAGAGAAGTTTGTCTTATGAGTAAGCGATTGTATTCGCAATTAGGAATATCACAAAAGGTTTAGAGAGAAAAGGTAATGCATCTATTAAGTACACAATCTTATAGGAAACATTGTGTCTTTAATATTAAGTTTGCAAGTTAATTCATTAAAAACAGACATATTCATTTTCCACTAGGAGGAAAATAAATAACCCAACATAAAGGAAATGCCATTTGCTGCATATGAACATTCCTTCTTAATTTGCTGTTCAGTTATTTACTATACCTACCCAGGATCTTCTCACTATTCCTTATATACATTCTCCTATTCAAATATAAGCCCTTAAACAAAGAACAGCCAACCTAAGCTTATTGTAATTCCTGCAAATATTACTTATGTTAATGTGGCATATGCTGCTCATTAGAACCTGTACCATGGAGCAAAGCATTGTGTGGCAGGATACCCATCACTGATACAGCAGTTGCAATATAAATATCACACACACACACACACACACACACACACACACCTCTGCTTCTACAAACTCTAATTTCCTTTTAGTTCATTCATAAATGCCATGATCCTAAGTAGGAACAACCTGTCATTATGGTAAAACCTACTAAAAGATCTAGAGAGGGTGGGTTAAATTTTCTTTTAAACTTCTCAGAGTACTACATGGTCATAATTAGAAAATAAAATACTGCCATGGCTCTTTGACAATTAACATCCTGGGTTGAAAAACTAAAGACTTTTTCTTTCTTTCTGCTTAAAATTGTCAAACAAGGTAGTCGTTTGCATTGGTATCCGATTAAAAACACATTTTAGGCTTAGGCAATCCAAAATTATCTCTTAAAATGTTTTCAAAGACAGCCGAAAATAAAAACATATCTTCAGTTTCCTCTCTGAGCAAACTGCCTTTTTTCGGAAGCACCTTAAGGACCTGGGAATGTTTCGGTGAGAAAGTGCTCTGCGGAGCACCAGCCGCGGGGCAGGGCCGTGCGCCGGTACCTGGCGGACTTACCTTCATTGGACGGCGGGAGAGTCAGTTCCCCGAAGCAGTTGGGAACAGAGCTGCTGAGGAGGAGGAGGAGGAGGATGGAGAGGTGACAGTCCATGTTGCTGGTGCAGAGGGCAGTGAGAGGAGCATATCTCCATGAAGCGTGCCACTGATGTGAGGGGGAGCGCTCTGATTGCTGGAGAAGTTACCATGCTCCGCTCGCAGGCTGATGTCAAGTTTGACACTGGAGATAAGGAGGAGTCTGGCTGCCTTTCCGCGAACCTCGCTCAGGGACTTCCCTGGGTCCTAGTGCCGACGGAAGCGGACGCTGAAGGACCGGACTGCACGCGGGGGCTCCAAATCCGCCCAGGAGCACACGGAGCTGGGGAGGAAGAAGGCGGGGGTGGGGGCCGTCTTGCCAATAGGGCAGGAAATGCAACAACGTGTGATGGGGCAGTGGTGGAGAGTAGTGTTGGGGAGCGGAAAACACCCCCTCTTTATTTTCAATGAAAAGCAGCTATTTTATTGTTTGCTGTGCATGCTCTGTAGGCTAATTCCATGAAGAACCAGAAAACCCCATAGGAGTGTCATGTAGCAGAATGAGTGGAAAAGAAACTGAAATGCCAGAGAAATGTTTATTTAAAGAACGGAGCCTTTTACTTAAAAAAAAAAATAAAATAAAGCCATGATGATTGTATAATTCAAAGGAAAGTTGGGATCATGTCTTTACTATGCTCAGTGTGATCACGCTCCGCGAGTCCTTTGTGGGACATAAGGACATTAATACACACCCCGGATCAGGAAGTCTTTTCAGTTTCACACCAAGCGCTACCAGGGCTTTTAAAGAGATTTGGCACAGCGATTCCGTGCTCAGAGGGTGCACTTGGCTTTTCCAAACTGAGAAGTAACCATTATCCTAAGGAAGTGAACAAGCCCAGCCCTAGGAATAGCTGCAGGTCAGCGTCCACCCTTTGTTCTGCGCTGTGCGTGCAAATAAAAGTAATACAAACCAAACCTGAAGCTCTTGGCAGCACAGCACTACCGCCCTCCCTCACCATCTACATCAGGATCTCTGGGACCTGGGAGATAAACATTGAATAATTCACAGCTCCTCATTCAGCTTTCTGCCACTTCCAATCTGATAACAGTTGGAAACTGTTCTTCCTTAACATTACCAATCCGACGAGTAAATCATAGTGTCCTGGTACTTTCACACTCACTTTGCACTGTGGAATTATCAATGGTCTCTCTTATTTCCAGTTCCCTGTTGAGCAGCATGATTGCAATCTATTTCAGCAAAATCGTTGGGTAATTCATATTTTAAAAACTATTCTCATTTGTCTTGAAAGCATCCCCCAAAAGATGATTGCTCAAATATATCCTCCCATGCATCTATCATTTACTATTGTAAACAACAACAACAACAACAACAAAGCAAGACTTATATTCCTTGCACAACTACAAAAAGTAAAGAAAGGTCAACAACTTCAAGATCAATTTAAATAAGGCTTTGAAAACCCCTCCTTAATAAGGTATTCATTTTACAAACACTGTTTTTAATGAGAGAACACAAATTTGTACGTGGACTTAAATTAGTGACTTCTGATAATCTTTCGTTGCCTGAATGGGGGGCAAAGAAGGTAGGGGAAGGGGGGGGAGTGACCCTCCTCACTTTTCTCTGTGTGCCTCTTACTCTGCATGTCTAACTCCTTCCCACATTGTGTCACTGGATGTAGAGGCCTCTTCACTGCCAAGTCTGTCAGAGCTGAAAACACTGACAGACACTGAACAGAGGACTCAGATAGGGGTGACTCTGGCATTTTTTAAAGTTCCAACACAACTCTAGTCCTTCCATAAGGCACAGTTCCATTGTTCTGGGGTTAGATAAAAATTTTCTGAAACTTGAAAGAAAAGAATATCTTATTTGGAAGTGACAATTTAAAAATATTTTGGCAAAACATGCCAATGTGCTGATATCCACATACACTGGCTTTCCCTCAAATTACTGCTTTTTTCGCACTGAAGCTGCTTGTCACTGTGGAAAGAGGCATTCCTGTTTGAAGGAAGCTACAATAGTGTGAAAATTTAGTAAAAAGCCATTCCTGGCCTGGGAATAAAATGTAAACAATATAGGATCTCTCCATTATGGACTCTCTAGGTCAACTGACACCAGATAAGAAAGACTTTGCATGACCTGAGCGATGTTCTGGATGTATGTGAGAAAGAGTGATGCCAAGAAACAGGGGAGCAATGAATTTGGCCAGAGTAGGAGGAGGAAGGATGGCGGTGAGGCACCCGATTCAGAGAGAGCTTCACCAGGAAAGGGGTAACGGAGTTGTAGCTGGCAGGATGAGCAGCAGGTTCCGAGCTGGAGAATGGCTCAGAAGGCACTGCAGGTATGCAGATGTAACACAAATCCAATCTTAATAATTTCCAAGTGAGGGCAAAAAAAAAAGCATCTGGCATAAATAGAGCACAGAGTGTGTGTGATACAAAAGGGGACAGGATACAAGGAGGTGAGCGGTGGGGACAGAGATGTTCTTCAAAGGCCAGGAATGGAAACTGCAGACATTTCTGGGCCACATGAGAATGATTTTACAATGCATTTTTAGATGAAAGGGAGACATCAAAAGCATTTCAGCAAGTAATAATTTGATCTAATATGAGTTTTAGGAAGAAATTTTACTGATAGCAGAATGTCTCCACCTGTGGTATATGGATCACCTGCCATGAAGTACCTGGAATGCCTGTTAAAAGTGCATATGCCTTGCCCTAGCCCAGCCGTGGGCAAACTACGGCCCGCGGGCCGGATCCGGCCCGTTTGAAATGAATAAAACTAAAAAAAAAAAAGACCGTACCCTTTTATGTAATGATGTTTACTTTGAATTTATATTAGTTCACACAAACACTCCATCCATGCTTTTGTTCCGGCCCTCCGGTCCAGTTTAAGAACCCATTGTGGCCCTCGAGTCAAAAAGTTTGCCCACCCCTGCCCTAGCCGGTTTGGCTGAGTGGATAGAGCAGTGATGGCGAACCTTTTGAGCTCGGCGTGCCAGCATTTTGAAAAACCCAAACTTAACTCTGGTGCCGTGTCACATATAGAAATTTTTTGATATTTGCAACCATAGTAAAACAAAGACTTATATTTTTGATATTTATTTTATATATTTAAATGCCATTTAACAAAGAAAAATCAACCAAAAAAATGAGTTCGCATGTCATCTCTGACACGCGTGTCATAGGTTCGCCATCACTGGGATAGAGTGTCTGCCAAGGGACCGAAGGGTCCCAGGTTCTTGCAGGCTAAATCCTCCATACAGTAGAGGGCGTGCAGGAGGCAGCCGATCAATAATTCTCTCTCATCATTGATGTTTCTCTCTCTCTCCCCCTCCCTTCCTCTCTGAAATCAATAAAAGTATATTTTAAAAAAAATTAAAAAGTGCATATGCCTCCTGCTCACCACAGATTCACTGTATCTGAATCTCTGAGGTTGGTCCCAGAAGCCTGAAACTTGGACAAGCTGCTCAGGTGATCCTGTGCTCCAGGACATTTGGGGGCCGCTGCTGAGTGTGAAGGAAGGAAGATCTCATGCAGGATGGTGAGATGGGAGGCTATTTTTGAAGTAAAACTACAGTAACAAAGAATTGAATAAGAATCTATCTAACAGAAAAAAATGAAAACACAAGATGAAACTAAGACACATGTTTAGGTGAAAGAGATCATATTTTCCAGAGAAATATTGGATTTGGAGGTGAAGAAGAGGACGATAACTAAGACATTTGCAATATTTAGTTTGTGTAATAGTTCAGTTCAACTGAATGTGAGTGCCTAACATGTACCTGATAATGTGCTAGACACTGGGGGTAAAAACATAAATAAGACTTGTCCCTTCCTTTAAAATAATTTATAATCACAAGGAGAAATTATGGCAAGTGTTAAATAGAGGTCTGTGGAATATTTCATAGTAAGGGGAAGGGGGTAGGTAATTCAAGTTAGGGGTTAAAGGATACTTTCTTGGAGTAGATGGCAATTGACTGGAACCTAGAAAGATGAGTTTTAATGAAAAGAGTCCGAAAAAAAGAAAATAAACATGAAAAGCATGTTTTCTGGAGGAAATGGCAAATACCTCTATTACTAGAGCATGGATTTTGACGTGGTGTCAGGTGGTATGGGAAAGTAGTGACAGGACGAAGGTGTGCAGTAATGAAGAGCTTTTCTAAGGAGCTTGGGCTTGAGGGTGATATGGAACAGAACAGAGACATTCAATTTGTATTTTTAAAAAGATCATTTTGACATACTTAAAGGGAGGGAATAAAATTGAAGCAAAAATATAAATTAGGAACTAAGAGATCAATTAGGATTTATTTGCAACAGGATAGCCAATATCATGTTAAGTGGGACTCTTGAATCAGAATGAGCTAGGGAGCTGCCTGTGCTCTGCTACTCTTAGTAAAAGTCTAATAATAACAGATCCTATCTTATAGGGATCTTGTAAGGATTATATGAGATTTGGTATGGTACAGATAAAGTGTAAGTGTATGCTAAAAGCATTCAGTACTTTTTTATCTTGATCCAGAAGAGAGATGTAGGGGTTACCATATTGAACAGTGATAGTAGAACTACCAATCACACAAATATAAGTCAGGGGAATTGGTGAAACTTCATAATAGATTGATTATGAAAATAAAGTAGATGATATGTTTAGGAGGCCTTTTAATCTCTGGCTTGAAGTAGTCAGTAATTACAAGAGAGGTTTGAGGAGAGAAAATGGGCATGAGATGCAAACATTTCTATTGTGGGTATATCTACTTGAAGTGACCTGAATGAAATACAAGGTAGATAGACAGGACACAAACATCTTGATTAGAATTGTTTCTTTGGGAAAAAAATCTTTTCAAATAATTGGTATATAAAAAAATAAGTAGGTGTATTCATATAAGCAAAGTCTTGGCAGAAAGATCAGTTGACCAAAGTTGAAACCCTGCCATATATCAATATTTAAAAGACAAGCAGAAACAGAGAAGAGCAAAGAACTAGACTAAATTAGTGTAATAGAAGCTGGACATTTTAAAGGTTTCATAAACAGTTCATGGTCAACAGTACCTACATGAAAAATATCTAGATTATATATTTACTAAAAGCGACAGTTGGATTTGACAACAGAGAGTTTTGATGACTTCTATGAGAACAGTTTTGGTGGAGTAATTGGGTTGCAAGTAAAATTAAGATAATAGAGTAAATGAAAAGTCAGGAATTAGAAACAGTAAGTGTACTATACTTTCAAGAAGGTAAGCTTAGAGGAGAAGGCAAGCCCAGAACAGGGGAAAGCAAGGTGTAATG